CTATGAAACCTCCACACTGGAAAGCTTTGTTGAACCAAATCAGCATGAGGAATATCTGCTTTTCCCCATACTTGATTTCATATGGCACGTTTACTTGGATACTCTCTCAACACCCTTGCAAAATATACCATAGATCTAAAGCACGATCTCCTTTCTCAAAATGAATGGGTCTGATTACGGGCGTATTCATTTTGTAAAAGGTACAAAAGGATACAAATGTGCCTTTCCATTTCATATAATGTCAAAGTAAGACCCTATTGCCCTTTTATTTCAATCCCTGCAATTTGAAAATAAAAAAATGACTTGATTATATGTTTTTTAACACTAAGTGTATAATTGCTTTTGTGTTTTGACATTTAATTCCTCTTACCAAAATACATGGTAGGAATTAAAAGTCAAAACCTTTTATGTATTTGATGTACAGATCCTTCTGTGTATTTCAATGAGAGGAGTAAAACAGGAAAGCCATAAAGCAGGTACAGTGAAACCATCTTGAATGAAGTCATTTTTATCCTAAACAACCTCACTCTGGTCCCAGTTTTGCTGTCTGTATTCAAGCCAAAGTCCTGCAAGCTTTCTGGAAAATGTGATTCTGACACAAGGAGAGGAGCCACATTTTGTGGGCTGATAAAATTATGTGACTGAATATAAATGGAATCAGACATTGCTTAGTGATGCTCCGGTGTTAGACTTTCTGTGGAGTAACTGAAGCATTGAGCATACCTTGCTGGGCCTTTTCCTATGTCTTTTTTGGTGGTTATTTTCCTTCAGTCTAACTTTTCTGAGCTGTTAAAGTTGTTCCCCGCCTCTCCTCCTGCCCCCACCTCTCTCCATGTGTTGTTTTCTCTCCCTCCTCACCCATATTTTTTGTGTTCCTGCCAGCTCTGCACATGCTCTCCTCCTCTGCCTTTTCCTCCCTTTCCATCTCTCACTCGTGTCTTTGAGCTCTCTCTGCTTCTCTTCCCCTTCAGTCACGACCCCAGTCTCCCTGCTTACCTTATTCCTCTTACTCTATCTTATATTCACCCTAATCAAGTGTTCTGTACCCCAGTGTTTCTTCCACACACATGCTACTACGCCTTCACCCACAGGTACACTCTACCACCACCACCTCTCATCAGTTTTGTACTTACAGCTCCACCTACACCTTCTGCCATGCTTTCACATACTGCTCCCCTGCACAGCTCCTTGTAGAAAGAGCTGTGCATTATTTTTCTCCTCCGCAAACTAGGCCATTGAGAAAGGACAGTTTTCCCAGGGAATTCTCTGAGACTAAGGCAAGGGGTAGTATGTGAGCTAGCCAGAGTGGATTAATGTCCAGGGTAGGAAAGAGAGGCCCAGACTGACCTCAGAGGAGCTTGCTCAGAAGAGGAGAGACTGAGGATATGTCAACTCTGTATAGATGTGCCAGGTCTGGACACAGGCATGGGTGAACTGGGTGGCCGCCCAGGGCCCAGATGGAAAGGGGGCCCAAAAATGATATTTTTATTATTATTATCATCATTATCTCTGGCGAAGAGGGGACCAATACTAAAAGTTCTCCTGGGGCCATCAGGAGTCTAGATACGGTGCTGACTGCATCTCATGTACACACATCCAAGCTAGCTTTACACTAGCTTGCTGGTGTACTGCTAGCAGAGCAACACAGAGCTCACACAGGCCAATGATCCAAGTATTTTCCTTTCTTCTTGGAAAAGTTTTGCAGCCCCAGTGCACTATCTTCTGTCATAACTACACTGTTATCAGCAGCCAAGTCAGCTAAAGGTAGCTCAGGCTTGTTTGCATCTTAACTGTGATGTGGACATACCATGAGGCTATGTAGGAAGAGAAGCTGGTTAACTGGCCACTGACAAAGCTGGCCACAAAAGGAAAGGAGCCCAGATGCAGTATGGAGCAGTGATGTTGGACAACAAGGAAGGAAAAATTAGGATCCAATATGAGAAGGGAAGAGCTTTTCTGTCTGTCTTTGATCTGTGAGTATCTTTATGTGGCACAAGGCATGTGGACACCCATAGCACATGCCATGATACCAGAGCTAGCTCTGAATGTCTGTCTTTTTATCCAGTAGGATATGATAACTTAAGTGGAACACTCTTTTACTGAAGCTTTATTGCTTCCAGTACCAAGACAGCCACCAATACAGATCTAACATGGGTACTGCATTGTGGCATGTAGATGCACTCAGAGTTATAGCTTCCCAGAATCAGAGCAAATTGGATTCCATCAGAGATTAAGAGCCTGGCCAGTATTTGCTGACCTTGCTGCCCATCATTATTTTAATATTTCTGCATAAGAAACAAGTCTGGGACTTTCATGCTGTTGCAAATAAGCTGCATTATGCATTCACCTGCATATTTACATGGCCTGGTTTTTCGTCTTCCACTTGTGTGCTCACATAAGTATGTGCTATGTGAGCTAAAGGAGTAAATATGAGTAGCTGGTAGTGTCAGGCTTGTAATTCCTGATGTTGGCATACAATGGACAAAATCTTTTGATTAAAGTATGAGATAGGAAGACAGGACTTCTGGCTTCTGTTCATGCTTCTGGCTCTTCTGTGGACTGGTATGTGACTTTGATGAGTCCCCTAGGCTAGGGACAGACATTCAAAAAGCCTGAGCCTGAATGCAGTGGCTCAGGCTAGAAGCTTGGAGGTGCTAGAGCAGCCCTCCCTTCCCTTCCACAGGACTGCACTGAGGGGGGCATGGCCAGGCCACGGCAGGATTAGGGAGGGGTTCTTCCTCCCCTAGATAACAAAGCATTTATCAGCTCTGTTATCAGCATTTATCACCCCATCAATAAACAACCTCTCTCATTAGTTCAAGTTCTTCTTAAACAAAGTAACAGAGAGATATTACCAACTGAGCCATTGATTAACTCCAAAAAGCCCTAAGCCAACACTGCTGTCTGCCACAGCACGAACTGTAGCCAGCATGTGGCCTGCTAGTTAATGCTGAGAAGTGTCTGTGTAAGGCAGAGAGGATGGGGGATCCCCGCTTAGCAGGTCATGGTGAGGGAAGAAGGAGAGCAGGAGGAAGCCAGGCAGATGCTGCTGTGCCTGCAAGTCTCTGCTGGACCTTCAGCCAGGGGGCAAAGGGGAGGGGCCATCTCTGCTGTGAGAAGAAAGCCCTGCCCAGCCCAGAGAGCATGCTGGGATGCTGGGGGAGTCTGATTTAACTTAAACCAGCAAGGAGTCTGGGCCAGACATGGAATAAACCAGTTTGACCCAAATCAGTTAAGTTTGATACTACATTCAACCAGGTTTGTATCAAACCAGTTTCAGCCATTTTCAAACCAGTCTTTGTGCACTGAACATCTGTTCTGTTACAGATTTAAACCAGTTTCTGATCACTTAAACCAGTTTATGTGTAATGTCTGTCCCTAGCCCTAGTTATCTGGTGCCTATGTTTCCCAATGTGAGGAACAATCCACATACCTTGGGAAAATGTTGCAAATGAAGAACACTAATTGTGTAAAGCACTTTAAGATCCTCAGATGGGATAATGCAATAGAAGTGTAAATTACTATTGTCATTCAGCTCAAGGTGACCAAATTCTTCATTGGGTTACTTCAGATATTCTGTTACTTTAGATGGCTCAATCAATATTCCTTCATTACTGATCAGAATCTTAATTCATGCAAATCCTGTGGGAGTTCCTGTTCCCACAGATTACTCAGTGGCTTTGAATCATTCATACTTACTTCTTTATATACATTTTCAGTGACAATAATGTGGAACGACTGCAGCATTTACTGCAGCATAGCTTGAAAGAGAGCTATTACTCAGAATGTGGAACCTGAGAGTAGAGGTTTTAGTTCAAATGGAAACTTTATGGAGTAGATTTCACTCCTGGTCCAAAACTAAATGTCAGCTCCTTGGAGATTTTGGAGTTTGCTGTTTGTTCAGCCCCAGAAATCAGGTAATGAACCAGAACTTCAGACCTTCAGAAACATGCATTTTATGCTTTGGAGAAGTTACTTCCCCTTCCTACCCAACACCCTTCCCCCACCTTTCCACCCTCCCCACCCCACCCCCAGTTCTTTCTCCCTCCTCATTTCCCCTTTATTTTTTCTTTTTCTTTAACTTTGATGGATGGTGTTTCGTTCTGCAGTGAGATTTAATGTATATCACTGTGGAACAATTTCAATTGTGGAAAACAACAACAAAAAGCAATATTTCAATATTTTTCAAGAAAAGTCTTCAAAGGTTTCAGATCTTTTAAAAATGTTTCTGCTTTATTTTGATGTGGCATAAAAGTTTTGTATGCATTCTCGGATCCGCTATTGTGACAGCTGTATTTAATGAGTGCAAAATGATCAGAAAAACATCCTTTACTGTATGTTGCCATTGCCAGCTGATGACAGGATAGAGGCAGCATTGTAATGAGAGAAGCAGTGAGCTAGTTCATATAGCTATTGATGAGGTGTTTCTACCCCAGTTGTCTAGATGCACCTTTTGAAGGTATTGCAATGGCCACAATACCTCAAAAGTTCAACCAGTCTGTTTCCTAGTAAAAATTCAAAAGTGTGAAATTAAACTGGATGGTCTTAGCCTGAGGTCATGAAGGTATTTGGCTGTGACATACTATTTGTGGATAATACACTCAGTTGTCCTCAGAAACAAAAATAAAGCCTCAGTCTTTATAAGTATAGTATAAATACTGTCTTTACAACAGGACTGATACTGAAAATAAAACAAAGATCAGTGGAGATATTGAAAATGAAACATTACACAAATAATTTGTTTTTTAATATATATGCAATTCCACATCAGAGAATGTTAGTCTAAATTGGGAGCAATGTAAATGGAATCTAAGTAGATTTAGAAAGGGGGGTAGGGTTCCTTTTTTTTTTCAAGACTACATCTTTCCTGACTTCCTCTGGTGACTGTTAGCTTATCATGCCTTTGTACAGAAGATCTAAGTATCTCATTCTCTCTTGCATCTCCATATGGTACCATTTTCCAGCTATTCTTCCTTCGGTCATGAGATGACAGCAAGAATGGATTGTCAACCTGGACCATTATAACAATTTCCTCTTGGCGAGAAAGTCCTGTGGGTTTTTGAAAGCTTACTGTAAGTTATATTTGATTAATTTATGCTTCTACTGACAAATAATTAGGTCAGCAATTAATTTTAAAATGCAAATGAGCTACAGGCCTTCATCCTGTTTTAAGAATACTTACCCTTTGTCGTCAGTTTTTACTTTTGTTAAAGTCTTAATGGATTTAGTTGGGGGAGGGAATGAAATCATATTTTCTAATGCTTTATTTACTTGATCATGTTGGACTTTTTTCAGCAAATATTGACAGTGAATGTTTATTCAGAAGTGATCATGTGTGGTGGAATTTAATGAAATAAGAAAGCCTAGCGGTGTAGTATAGAACCATATAGTTAACAATATCTTTACACAGTTCTGCTGTGAAATATGTGTCTATCTTGATGGATCAGACACAAATGAACTGAAGTCAGTAACTGGTGCTCTTCAAAGTCTTGTATACCTACTTAAGCGTGTCCTAAGGAACCATGATTCATTCAGAAAGGCAAATATATTCAGTAGTATTACTGATCTGGTTCTTAGGGTTCCTGCCTACCATCATATTTTAGGGCCTTTGTAATAAAACAAATACAGTTCAAAGGCTCAGTCATTCCCACAAAAACCTAATGGGAATTGTGCTATCAACTTTACAGGCGATAAGGGCTTTAATACTGAGCTTTATTTGTTTAAAAACATTCATTACTTGTATAAATATTCAGAATTCATATGAAATCATAGAGAAATTCAGCCTACACATGCCTGATTTTGAAGTCTCTGTGCAATTATACAACTTTTAATATCTACTAAAACGGGTTGATTTTATGTTCATAAAAGAGGCATTCCAAACAGAGGTGGTTACAGTATTTTGGATGAATAGTTGATTTGCAAAAAAAAAAAAAGTGCAGCTTCAGATTCAACTGAAACTTCATGAATTCATGCCAAATTTTGGCTTCTGAAAAAGGAACAAAATTGACAAGATTGAAACATTTTATTTTGACATTTTCAAAATGAAATATTTCAATTTTTTGTTTCAAAACAACATTTGGAAACCAAATTTGCCTAAATGTGGGTTTTTAAAAAAAATATAATGTAGGGAGAACAAGGTGTGGGTAGTTATATCCATTTTCACATGCTTTGTTGTGTGCCTATACCATGCTTGGTGCTATTCCTGCCCCTAAAAACTTAGATTCTTATATACCCCATTTCTCTGGGTGCAAGTTGTGTACACCCTCTCAAAAAAACAGTCCCTGAGTTTTTCTGGATTTGGGGGAGCAAAAGTGGAGTAAGTAAAATATTTTATTTAGGACATAATCCCCTTTTTTTTCCCAGATTTTTGAGAAATAAAATTACAAGCGTAGCTGGATTGGTGGGGTAAATTGGACAATGCTGTCTGGAATTCAACAGCTTGATAATCCCAGAAGGGAAGGAAGTTTATTTTCACTCCTCAGGAATTTCCCATACCAGTCCTTATGTTTGTGTTGTTCTTCTACTGCCACAAGCGATCATTCTTTTCTTTTATAATGGAGAAGATCAGGTCTTAAACTTGTTCATGGAATAAAATAATTTCCTAATAAAAACTGGAACAAGAAATGCACAGGCTCATATGTGTTCAATGCAAATTTAATTGTGAATGAGAGCATCACAGATTTTATTTTACATGAAAGACTCGTATATAAAATACAAGATAACATGGCAACCACAAGAGAGTGTATGAAGGCATCTACTGATTGAATTAAAATGAAGAAATAAAATTATTTGGATGATGAAAGCTTGAATTGATCAGAAAGTGTGCATTAAATAATAGAGCAGAAAGGTAAAGGAAATAAACATGACGGAGCTTGATCATGGGGGTTGAAGGGTGTCCAGCAGTTCATGGGATCAGACTGATAACAGTGGCTTGATACATTTGTAATAGAGAGCCAGATCCCAAGAGATACAGAGAACCTGAGTTACAGAGGCACAGGATCTCTCAGGACCTAGCCCATAGTCTTTTACATAGTGATCCTGATAAGGATTATACAACTACATATGGAATGTTGTAAATTTAAGTAAGGATGATTATTTCCTCCAGGTAGTAGCTGTTTGTATCATGAAAAATTAATAAAAAGTAATATTAATAGAATATGGCACTCTTAAGATTGAAAGTCACACTAATAAATTTTGCATAAAGTCAGTTGTTTATGTTTGAATAATAAATCTTTCCAAATGCCTGATCCTGATTAAACAGTGTAAAAGGATATACTAAGCTACAGAAAAGAATGTTGAGATACTTTAATGCCCTAAAAATAAGAAATTTCAGGATATTTTATTGATGATTTTGCATGTATTTGTATTAAGACTGTAGGACTAAATATTTTACCTTCTTTATGAAAGCTTTCTGCTAGCTTCATTCTGCTCAGTCTTGTTTGTTCTATGGTTATTGTTTCATGTAAATAAATGACACTTCCATCATCACCTAGTCTGTCTTTCTCCATCTATCCTTAGAAACTTAGTTTTTATTTTTTAAATCTTCTCTGGAGCAATAACTGAGAGTTATCTTTTAGAATCAGATGGTCAGATCCCATGAGATGTTTTTTTCCTTTAGTAGCAAGAGGCTAGATGAGGCCTGATGGGTAGTTTTGCTTCCTGTTTTCTATGTCTTTGGACATGATTCTGATCATAATTCCAGTGAAGTCAGTGGGAGTTTTATATTCAGCTCCAAAGGCCACATGTATCTAAATATGAAAAGCTGGTTAAAAAATAGCTCTTCTAAGACTTTGCTTATATCATAGGATTTCTCCTGAGCAGAAAACAAAGTGAAATAGTATTTTTTTCTCAGAAGAATTGGTGTGGTTTCCAATGACCTCAGGATAGGGTTCCAAATAGTGGCTCCCATCTCCAGTTAAATTGATGCCAATATAATCCCTCCAGTGGGTACCTGCTTTGATTCCAATTGATGCCAATTTGTATCCCTGAAAATTTGTTTGTAGAAAGTCCTGTTCTTCTCTTACTTACAGGGGTCCCATTCCAGCAAGCATCTATAGGTTTTAAACTCACATAAGTAAGGCCAGAATTGGATCAAATATTTTTTAAATGACTGAAGTTTAATTTTAATTGATATTGCTCACAACAACTTTTCTCTGTACTTAACTTAGTGTCTTTAACATATACATGTATGCATCTGATTCTTATCTGCTTTGTTTAGTGACCCCAATCTTACATTATGTAGGAAACAGACCGATGCCATGTTCCATCCAATACTACCCCTGTGTTGGTACCTTCACCCACAACTTCCAGCCTTCTCACAACCCCTTCCTTTTTCTCCTGTCCACTCACATATTAACAACATATCTTCATTTTATAGCTACCTGCAATGAGCTGTAGGCTGTCTTCTCAACCTGTTAGGGTCACCAGCCCCTTCTATTTACTCATACCCCTCCTCTTAACATTGAGGCTTCCACCCTGGTGCCCAGATGATTTCCACTCAGAGTCATCCAGGGCATACTATGTACCTCTGTGAGAACATAATATTTTAATAATGAAACATGTTCAGAAATAGCAATGTAATGAAAAATCCAGGCAACATTGGCCAAGTCCATTAAAGATACATCTCATTTGTCAGAAAATGTTCTACAGTGCCTCTTGAAGGTGCATCTCATCTAGCATAACTCCCTTTAACTTTTTCAAACAATAACATTTTTTATGCAATACATGTCTTTTCATATTATCTTTTTATTAGTCTCTATTAGTCTGTTCAGCAAGATCCAGTGAGTAAGTGGACACAGACCACATCTGTTGTTTGTTTACAGGAGATAACATAGAGGAGTGAAGCCTTAAATTCCAAGGTTTTGACTGTGTTCCCTAGTACAGGGATGAGCTAGCTTTTAGTGTGGCAAGCTGCTACTTGTGACTCAGTCACTGCCACAAGCTACCACCTCAGGCCGCTGCTCCTCTCCCCAGGGCCCCGCTCTGCATTGCTCAAGGTGCCTTCTGTCACCACCACCAGTTCCTATCCCCAGCCGCAGGGAGGAGGTGCAGATTCAACAGTGACATTAAGCAGTGTTTGTCATAGGGAACAAGAGAGAGCATCAGCAAGGGCTACAGAGGGGTGCACTGCAGAGGGGATCAGCAGCACAGCACAGTGGGGGAGCAGGGAGATGCACCAGGTTGAGCTTCATGTTGTCAGTCCCCCATGCCCACTGTAGGCCACGTCCAGTCATTGTGCCGGCTGGATCCAGCCCATAGTACATAGGCAGCTAAGCCCTACTCTAATATATGTATAAACACAGACCAAACCAAGTACTTCAGAATGGTAAAGAACCTGATTTTTCAATATGTAGCGATGCTACCTCTGTTAGCAAGATGAGTCGCTTAAAGGATGGAGGTTGTGAGGTTCTAAGCAATAAGCTATGCAGAGTGTGCTGCTGCACAGTCACCCCATGATTCAAGGGTGCTCTTGTTATCGGGCCCATCTCCAAATCAGGAAAGGAACTAGTGCAATCCCTACCCTTCAGAGCTCAGCCATTTGGAAAGAGGGACTGTACTAGTAGTCTATCCTTTAAACCAGCCTGAAAAAGGCCCTTCAACTACAGAACCTTCTATACCGACCAGGGCAAGTGTTACAACTGTTTGATGATATGTCCCACTAGTGCTCTTGTAGCCGTCAGTAAAGCTGTGTAGTAATAATAGCTCTAGTTTTACAGCATAAGAGAAAGGGGAGATGCATTCAATCCAGACAGAACACTTACCCTCCCTGTCAATTGCCAAGGAGTAGCACTACAATAACAGGAAAGCTATGGACAGAAGCAGTGAAAACTGTTCATACCAGTGTTTGTGGGGAGTGACTCCCCTGGCTACAGAAAGTCCTCTTCCCAAATGCATAAAAAAACACCTCAACACCTTGCTCTGATTCCCTGCTTTGCCAAACCCCTTCCAGCACCCAGAACAATTAGGCAGCTAGAAAATCCCAAGTGGCAAAAACAAATCCCACAACCCCCAGCTGTGCAAGTTATGGAAAAGTGCCTCAGGCCCCACACATGTGACTTCACAGCAAAACCTA